GGCCTGGCCAGAGTGTTGAGAGCTATTAAATGTGTTTCCATCTCCCTGTGTAAGTATTCTTGCCAAAGTGTTCATCTGAATCAGACTGTGAGGAAACAGACAAACCCAGATTGGGAGACATTATATTTAACAGCTGGCCTGGATTCTTCAAAAATACTGATGTTGTAAAAGACCAAAAGGAGAGAGTACCCAAAGACACAACAGCTGTCATAGGGAGAAGCAACTGTAAGGATATCACTGAGACAACTCATCAAGTTGGAATGTGGATTCGGTACAAAAGAATATCACATGAGGTTAAGTTCCTTGGGTATGATAATAGTGTTAAAAAGGACAGTGTTTTGGGGGCGCCTGGGTGGCTCAGTGGGTTAAAGCCTCTGCCTTTGGCTCGGGTCATGATCCCAGGGTCCTGGGATCGAGCCCCGCCTCAGGCTCTCTGCTCATCGGGGAGCCTGCTTCCTCCTTCTCTCTCTCTACCTGCCTCTCTGCCTACTTGTGATCTCTGTCTGTCAAATAAATAAATAAAATCTTAAAAAAAAAAAGGACAGTGTTTTTGCTCTTAGGTACTTCATGCCAAAATATTTAGAGAGGTTAAGGCTATTGAACGATTAACATCTACGGCTTATTTCCTTTTTTTTTTTTTTTTAAAGATTTTATTTATTTATTTGACAGGCAGAGATCACAAGTAGGCAGAGAGGCAGGCAGAGAGAGGAAGGGAAGCAGGCTCCCTGCCGTGCAGAGAGCCCGATGCGGGGCTCGATCCCAGGACCCCGGGATCATGACCCGAGCCGAAGGCAGCGGCTTAACCCACTGAGCCACCCAGGCGCCCCTACGGCTTATTTTCAAACAGGTCTACAAAAATAAAAATAATACATATGTATATACGCACAGGGGTGTGTGCAAAAGATGTTCAGAACCGGTGAGTCTAGAGGAAGAGTATGCAAGTACTTATTGCATTATTTGTTCTGTAATTTTGAATTTTTTTAACCTAAAGATAGGGAAAGGAATGTACTTTAATAAAATAAAACTGGTTGAAACCACTTGAGGACCAAAGTGGTCCCTTATATTTCAAGTCATTATTATATCCTGATTGGGGGGGGGTGTGGTGGGGCAGGGAAGCTGGCCCAAGGGATTCTCTGAAATACAAAGAAAGGAAAGGGAACCTAATTTAAATTTAAATGTAAAGTAGGGATTTCAGGAGATAAAAATGTTAGGGGGATTAGCATGGTACCCAATACAGCCCATTAAGTGTTCAGTAAATGTTCTTGAGTGTGTATGTGTATGGAAGAACACACACTTTCTTTCTCTCTCTCTCTCTTTCCTCACATCTGGCATATTTGAGCCTGCACCATGAGTCTGAGGTTCAGTGAACCCAGGTTCATTGACACCCACATTTTGGCTCTTCCCAAACCCCCGGTGCCAACAGACTGGCCTTTGTCTTGTGTACAGCTGTGTAGCATCCAGGAAAAGCCTAAGTCCTGTGTGGGACTATTAGAGATATAAACTCTGTGGAATGTTCATAATCAAAGAAAAATAGAGCAAAGATTCCTTATTGTAAAAGATCTACTCTTTGCCTTGGTGTGAAGAAAATGATGCCCCTTTCCAAATTTCTCTCCGGCCATGAGCACGGTGCCCCATGAAGCTGCTCATTCTTCATCTTAGGTAAATACAACACAGTACCATAGAAATGAGGGCAAGGCTGCTGTGTGAGGCCCTAAGTGCATAGCTAATCTTGAATTGCTTGATGGAATTGGAAAATGGAATAAACGGGCATGCCAGCTAGATAAAGCACTGAAACAGAAACAGGAGCACGAAGATTCCTGACTCTGCCACGAGATGTGGGCTGATTTTTCCAGGGCAAGGAGCTCCGTTTCTAAGAGCAGCGTGATGCAGCTGTTTTTTTTTTTTTTTTTTTTTTTTTTCTCCTTTGTGTTGTAAAGAGAGTCACAGGGCAGTTTGCTGCTAACTTAGTCTTAGCTTTGTTTTCTTCTCCTTAGTAGTAAAAAAAAAGTCTCCTTTTTGGCAGTGGGTAGGTGGGAAGAATACTGGTCTTTCTAGGACTCTGGGGACCCTTCTCAGATTTGTTTTGTGACCTCTGTCGTTATTCCTAAAAAGTAATTGAGAATGATTTCTTACTCTCTAGTCCAATTTTGGATTAGTAGGAGGGGCAGGAGAACAGTTTTACCTCCTGAATTCCAGTTCTTTTGTGGTAGTTTGGAAATTTCCAGCATCTCCATTTCTCTACAGGTAAACAAGAGAAGGGCAAGGATGAAACTGCCCATCTCACACTTTAAAAGAGAAGTCATGGGAATGTTTGAGCTCTCTGGAAGAACCGTCTGAAATATAGTGAGCCCATGATTAAGAAAAGAATAGGATTGAAATTAGCTGTATGCAACAAGGAAGTAGTTCCTTCTTTCATAGGAAGTAAGACTTAATTAATAATTCAGAATTCATGAGTCTTAATTAAGCTGGAAACAACACACTTCATCTTCTCAGACCTCTAAGTCTCTTTCTAACGCCCCCCCCACTCTGAATAGTTGCACTTGACCTTTCTTTTTCATCAATTTCACTTAACAGAAGCTAGTTCTATAAAACTGTGAATTTGCTAGTAGATTGCTATTGCCTGATAGATTCTCAATTCACATGTAGATATCTCAGGGTTTTTTTTTTCTTGAAACAAAAAGGTCAGAGTGAGGAGGAGGCTTTGAGATCATTGAGTTCTACTTTTTTATCCTATGCACGTGATAAGACCAGAGAGGAAGCTACTGCCTCGCTCAGTGTGCTGGTCTAGTCTAGTGGTCTTTGTCTTGTACCAGCTCCTTCCTGTTCCACCCCATCACCCCATTAGCCTCCCCTCTTCTGTATTTCCAACCACAACTGACAGCAAGACAGTTCCAGTTCTTTCTGTTGGGTTACAAAGGACTGATGTCTATTCTATGTAAATTTGACATTCAGGCTATCAAAAGAGAACTGTATGGGAGATTCTTGAGGCTGGATCTGTTTAAAAACTTAGCAATTTACTGCAATAAGGCGATATGTATCTACCATGTATGTCTGTATATATCTCCTTACTGCAACATTAGATAGATAATCTTCTTAATAATACATTTTGTTATATGTAACAAATGTTATATGTAACAAAATGTATTTCATATATATAACATATATATATGTATATATACATACATCACATATATATATATGTATATATATATACATGTATATATGTATGTTATATATACATACATCACTCTGCTCTGTGCCCCCTTATGTCCCATACTGATTTCATTTATCACTTCCTTCTTTCTCTGTGTCTTAACATTTGCCTGGTTTTCTGTTAACTCACCACCTTCTGTTACTGACATGGATTTGAACCTTGGATGTAGCATGGAACAACCTAGGGTGGGCCAGAGGAAACCTCCTGTCTCCCCTCTGAGTTCCATTCTAGTACCCACGGCCCCACTTGGCCTCATGCCCAAGTTAATAGAGGGGGATAGAGAAGCTGTTTGGGGCCAGCGGGTCACTGAACATCTGTAGGTTTTCAACTCTTGGCATCTGTAAGCAGCAGGGTTGCAGTGAGCCGGGAGGACCCAGGAAAGCAGGTGCCAAAGCCACCTATATCTTGTAGTTTCAAACAGTCTGAGACACAATCTAAACATCTTTTTAAAAGATGTTTTTTTAAAAAAATTATTTATTTATTTGACAGAGAGAGTGATCACAAGTAGGCAGAGAGGCAGGCAGAGAGGAAGAGGGGCAAGCAGGCTCCCCGCCGAGAAGAGAGCCTGGCACAGGGCTGCATCCCAGGACCCTAAGATCATGACCTGAGCCGAAGACAGAGGCTTAACCTACTGAGCCACCCAGGTGCTCCTAAACACCTTTTTAAATATGTATAGAGTTGCCAGGTTAAATAATAATTAGCTCATTTTTGATTATAAGTACAACACAAATGCATTCTCATTGTAGGAAATTCCTACAATACAGAAAAAGTGAAAAGTCTCCCACCTCTACCTTCCTTCCTTCCTAGAAGTAATGGTTATTAGTCTCTTTCAAGATTTTTTAAATGCACTAAAGCTTATGATGCACCTTGGTATATAAATATCTTTTCATAAATAGGATCCTACTGTATTATTTCACAACTTTTTTCCCCACTTCTTACATTTTAGACCTCGATGTGTGTGTGTGTGTGTACACATATAATTTCATTTTTTAAAAAACTGCCTAGGATTCTGTTGCATGAACATTCTGTGGTTTACTTAAGAAATTTTCTAAGGAGGGGCACCTGGGTGGCTCAGTGGGTTAAGCCTCTGCCTTTCGCTCAGATCATGATCCCGGGGTCCTGGGATCGAGCCCCATATCGGGCTCTCTGCTCAGCGGGGAGCCTGCTTCCCTTCCTCTCTCTGCCTGCCTCTCTGCCTACTTGTGATCTCTCTCTGTCAAATAAATAAAATAAAAATCTTAAAAAAAAAATTTTCTAAGGAGACTTCTGCTTGGTTTTGTTTTCCACTCTTAACAAACAGTGGGACTCTTGTGATTGTGTGTGTCTTCTAATACGGATTCTTAGCTGTGAAGATACACATTCCTTAAATTTTTTAGAATGACATTAAAAAGAGTCAGAGGAGAGGGCCGATGCCTGATGACTCAAGACTTCGCAGTCGGTCACAATAGGGCACTGTGGCCGGGCTGCCAGCCGTACCAGAGGGACAGGGCTGGTGACATTCATACACAGCTATGGCCTCTTATCTCACAGCTGTGCTCAGCCCAGTAGTTCACTTGACTCAGAGTCAAAACCACCAGGGGCCTTTCGCTGCAGCGACTGCGGAGAAGGAAAGTTCTTTATTGGTTCTCAAATGGGATGGTGTGACTCTTGGAGGCAGCCAGTGAAATGAACCAGGGATTGGAATAGGCGGATTCTGATTGGCCGATCTCTCTCTCCGGGCCGTCCGTGAGAGGCAGAGTGGAGTGGTTTCATTTCCTTACTTCAGATGCATTCTCTCTTTTTGCAGTTGGCCGTCCAATCCCTGTGCCTCAGACCCTGCACCCAAGCCCAGAGCAGATTGAGGAGTTGCATCAGACCTATATGGAAGAGCTGAGGAAGCTATTTGAGGCCCACAAAAGGAAGTATGGCATCTCGGAGCACGAAACTCTCAATTTTAGATAACTACTCTTAGAAGGCATACAGAGGATGAGAGAACATCCCATTGGAGGATACATCATTTTAAATAAGGATTTTTTTTTCTTTCACTTTGGAATCAAGATTACAACTGAAAAGTATTATTTATGGTGACAAATGTTAATGTGTATCCGTGGGAGATAAAAATACAGTGGGTGACTGTAGGAGAAGGAGGAAGAGGACCATAACCCTTTGGATAATCCTTATTAGGGAAGGTGCAAGCATTTCCCGGGTTAAGAAAGGGTTTAGGATTATTTGTGTGCTTAAAAAAAAAAAAAAGACTCAAAAACCAATTAGACCCTTTTACCAAAATCACGAGAATTTAAGGTGGTGTTTTCATGAAGTATCACAGCTCTCGTTTAGCACAGCTGAAACACTTAGGAGACAGTGTGTAAACTAATTTTCCATACCGAGGTAGAGGAGATCATTTCTTTCTCTCTTTTTTTTTTTTTTTTTCCCTGCTTGAACAGAGAATTTTTTGGGTGAATAACATTACTTTTCAGAGTTAGATAACTTGATCCTTTAGGTCATCTCACCCAACACCTTCTAATACAATAGTGCAGAATTTCCGTACAGGTTTTGAAACAGGATAAATCTACCATCTGGAAACCCATGTGGATGAGAGTATGTCTCCTCATTTCTATTCACGCTTAGAAATGCTCATGCTTGTCATTTGCTCAGAAATTCTGAGCAAATGTTCATTTGCTATATGTTCATTTGCTATATAGACAAGAAGGTCTTCTGGGAGACATGCTTTAGAACATTCAAATTCCAAAAGGTTTTCATGGTATTAGAAATGGTTTTAATTTCCTTCCCAAATGGCCTCTTTTTTTTTTTTTAAGATTTTATTTATTTCTTTGACAGAGAGAGATCACAAGTAGGCAGAGCGGCAGGCAGAGAGAGAGGGAAGCAGGCTCCCCGCAGAGCAGAGAGCCCGATGCGGGGCTCGATCCCAGGACCCTGAGATCATGACCTGAGCCGAAGGCAGAGGCTTTAACCCACTGAGCCACCCAGGTGCCCCCCAAATGGCCTCTTTGAGTAAGACCAGCTATGAAAGAAAGTGTCCTCTCCGGTTGTAATGTGTCCAGTTAGAGTTGTCTGGTCCCCGGGAGTGGGAACCCTGTTCCTCCTGTTCACTGACCTCTCCCTAGTGCCTGGGTCCCGCACAAGATAAGTGCTTGTGGGTCGCCTGGGTGGCTCAGTGGGTTAAGCCGCTGCCTTCGACTCAGGTCATGATCTCAGAGTCCTGGGATCGAGCCCCGCATCGGGCTCCTTGCTCAGTGGGGAGCCTGCTTCCCCCACTGCCTCTGCCTGCCTCTCTGCCTGCTTGTGATCTCTGTCAAATAAATAAATAAATAAAATCTTAAAAAAAAGATAAGTGCTTGTTTACTGAATGTATTCATAGATGAACCCACAAACATCTTTGCCTTAAGGTGAAGAATTTTTAAAGCTTTATTTACAATAGGACGAACGTATTATAGACAAGAGCCTCTTTCAGAAGGGGAGAATGCGCTGGGTCTGTCTCAGAACAGTAATTGACAAGTCAGTCAGTCAGTCAGTCTTGTCAATTGCCTTAAGGAAGAAGAATGTCTAGTGTCCAAATGATCTCCACTGCTGCTTGTTGCTTCTCTCCCTGCTGCACTCTAAGTATTTGAGGACCCCTGCACGGAGTTCTAACTTACTAGTAATAGATCTTCAGTCCCCGATGGTTCCATTTGAGGTGGTTTTGGCCGGCATCGCTCTGGCTTCACGCTGGTTGAGCAATCCTGGAGTCCACTGACCCGTGGCCTTCAAATTAGACCAATTTTTTTTTTTTAAGATTTGTATTTATTTATTTGAGAGAGAGACAGTGAGAGAGAGCATGAGTGAGGAGAAGGTCAGAGAGAGAAGCAGACTCCCCGCGGAGCCGGGAGCCCGATGCGGGACTCGATCCCGGGACTCCAGGATCATGACCTGAGCCGAAGGCAGTCGTCCAACCAACTGAGCCACCCAGGCATCCCCAAATTAGACCAATTTTATAATCAAAGCAGAGAATAGGGCACAACCTGTTTTCAACAGATGCAGAAAATTGGGTTGTAAATCCTTTTTTGGTATTATTCAATACTAGCAAGGCATAAAGGAGCACCATTTATGGAAAATGATGCACCCTAGCTGGTTAGGGGTCAGTCTTCGTAAGGCCAATTAACCACCACAATTAAAGACGTTTAAGTTATTAAAAAACCCATGGGGACTCCTGGGTGGCTCAGTTGGTTAAGCCACTGCCTTCAGCTCAGGTCATGATCCCAGGGTCCTGGGATTGAGTCCTGCATCGGGAGGGAGCCTGCTTCTCTCTCCGCCTCTGCCTGCCACTCTGCCTGCTTGTACGCTTTCTCTCTAACAAATAAATAAATAAAATCTTAAAAAAACAAAACAAAACAAAACATGAATTTGGACCAGGCAAATTAAAAAAAAATTTTTTTAAAGCATGAATTTCATTCCTTTAGAGAACTTTGTTAAGCCCTTATGACACAGAGTGGTGATTTCACGGGCTTTGTTTCATGAAAGTATGATGTTTAATCTCCTACTTCGTAATGGGGGCCAAGCTGACCACCGCCCCCAGCATCAGCTGGGTCATCGAGGAAGCAGTTAAAGCCCACATGTGAAACAGAGACACTAAAAATGAGAAAAGTTTTGCTCTGATGAATTTATCTCGAATTTTGCCATTTCTAAAATCCAGACATCAGCAACTTTAATTTTGGCATCTGTAAAAATCTTATTTTTAGGTACAAATTAGGGATTTTTATCTCTTTTTCTTTCTTTGGGTCTCCAGAGGTCTTAATCCAGCCAGAAGTCCTTTCATAAAGTCAAAGCATAGTAGGAAGTTCCTTTATAGTCCTAGAGATTGCAGATGAAGATTTGGACATGAATTTTTGCTATAGCACAAATGTGGGTCATACATGGTATTCGCTAACGCAGTGTGACAGAGAGTGCCTCTGTTTTAAAGATTCTCATCTACTCTGTAATTGCACATAAAATTTAAACAGCAAAGCAAAAACAGCAACAGTAAGAAAAGTAACCCCAGGACAGAGTAAGAGAAACTGAACTAATTGCCTTGAGAAAATGTGCACTTATGATTTGATTTGGACATTTCTGTCTCCTGTTCCTCTTGCAGAGTGGGCACAGACTGAGTCATTTCCTTTGTCTCGCAGTTAGAAGGATTGAAATTATCCGTATCCAGCTAAGTCAATTATGCTCACATTGAAGGTTGCAGCTTCGGTTCTTAGAAAGGCCAGCCAGTTTTGCTGTGTTCCCCAGGGCAACCTGGGCAAGGGATGCTACATGACTTGTCAAAACCCTTCACTAGGACTATGGAGACAAAGTATATATACTTCAGGGACGATGGGTAAGCGTTTCTTGTATGCATAGCTTTAAAAGCACAATCCCTTCCTTCAGCAGAAGGTCCACACTTCTGTCCTGGGAAGCACAAAGCTTGGAATGAGATGCAGCATCCACAGTTCTGTAACTTGGCATCTCTTCCAACCACCACACCCGCAATGCAAATTGCCGAGGTTTGTGACCAATAGGAAAAATGCATTTCGGGTGCCGTTACTCTGTCTTCTTTTCCTCAGAGAAGAGACACTGTGCATGGGATTTGTTGATTGGTTTGTCCGTTGCTGTTGTTTTCCAGTAGCCCATGATTGCCAGTTGTATCTTTTTATTTATTTATTTTTTAAAAAGATTTTATTTATTTATTTGACAGAGATCACGAGTAGGCAGAGAGGCAGAGAGAGAGGAAGGGAAACTGGCTCCCTGCTGAGCAGACAGCCTGACTAGGGGCTTGATCCCAGGACCCTGGGATCATGACTGAGCCAAAGGCAGAGGCTTTAACCCACTGAGCCACCTGGGCGCCCTGTATCAGTCTTTTTAAACTAAGTGATAAAATGTCTTTCTGGGGCTGGAAGAGTTACTTCAAATAGAATTTGTATATCTTTTTAAGGGAAAAAAACAACAACAAGGCAACTACTATATAACCAACTGGTTGTGCCAGTTTCTCTGGGATGGCAAATACTGAAGCAGTTTTTAATATTTAAAACCAAAGGGTTTGTCAAATACCTTATATGTCAGTTATTTTACTTAATCCTTCCCAAACACTCACAGCCTAGTGCCTTCACAGCATGTGTGGGAAGGCGAAGGTCTAACTCCGTCCACAGTTTGCTCCCGGGATGGGTTCCGCGTTGGTGGAATCTGTGTGTCACTTGGTTGGATCCCACCCCTGACGGAGCGTAGGCCTCTGGTGCTCTCTCAGTGAACGCTTATGGCTCTAACTCAGAAGTCTGATAGACTGTGTCAGTGGAAGTCAAGTTCTAGGGCCAGAAGGGGCTTTGTGTCTGGCATGAGTCCTTCTGCAGATGGAACAGTTGAACCCCAGCGGCTTAACGTGGCTTGACACCGACTCCATGATCATATTCCTCTGCCCTGATGGAACAGGAGGAGATACGGCTCTTCGATAATTGTTGATGAACCCACCTGTGAATCCTCCCATAAAACCGAAGTGTCCAAACATGGAGCGTGATTAAAGATACTCCGAAAACTCAAGGGATTTAACAACTCCGAAGTGAGCTCTGTCTTCTTGGGACCTGGAACATTTTTCTTTTTTGAGACCGGTCTGCTGCATTGTTGATTTTTCCCTTCTGCAAGAGCTATTTTGGGGATGTGCACTGGGGAACGTCCAAGGTTTTCAGCAACAAGCTAAGCCACTAGAGCCTTGTGTATGGAGCAGCAGGATAAGGCAAGGTGCTTTATGTCCCCATGAGAGACAGAGCCGCAGAGGATTTTTCCCTCAGTCACATTGTGACCATTAATACAGGTCAGAGCACTCCCGTTACTCAGAGGTGGAAGCAAATCTTCTGTCACCTTGCTGACAGCCCTAACCCCATTCTGGCACTAGCATCATTCAGCTGGGTGCTTTTTAATTTTATTTTATTTTATTTTTACAGCTCTTAGATTCTGGTTAAGAATTTTCTTAGGCTCTCTTGAGATAAAGATAAATCTGACCTTGTATTCCCAAGAGCCATGTAATTCTCCCCTCCTCCGTTTCCAGACCCGCTTGGAGCCTTTGGTCTTTCTGGTTGGATTCCAAATGTCCAGTGTGGGGTACAGTCATGCAGAGACAACCAGAAAACACTGTGCTATTTTTTTCTACCTTCCAGGGGCTTCTGTTTCAAATAACCCTTTAGCCTCTGCTCCTCCATTAACTGGCTGGGTGACCTGAGCTCCT